CCCCCAACGCTCCCAGACCAACACCCACCCACCCCCACCCACACCCACACCCCCACCCCCCCACACCCACACCCACCCACACCCACACACCCACACCCACACCCCACACCCACACACCCACACCCACACACCCACACATCCACACCCACACCCCACCCTAAATAAGCGGGATGAAAAGGTGGAAGATTAATTTTGGCAAGAAAATTGGATGATGATGTTGATGATGATGATGATGATGATGTTGGGATGATGGTGATTGATGACATTGTTAATTCTTTTTCGTCAACTGAGATAACTTGGGTGTGGGTGTGTCGAGCATTACCATGATCCAGATTTCGATCTTGCTTAAGGGTCTCATCAGATGGTTTCGACTCTGCTATACTTGTTCGATTGATCTCAATAAAATGAAATCAAAAACAAAGTATAATAATCTAAACAGTATATCCAACAGATTACAAAAGAATCAAATGGAATATCGATAGATATCATTTTAGTAGTGGTGTGTCGAGCATTACCATGATCGAGATGTAATAGCGTGATAGGTTCTCTTTTGATTGAATATTTTTATTGGTTGTATGAATTCAAGTGGGCTGTGTAGGAATTTTACTTAGAATTGGTTGTATTGTATTTTTTGTTCTTACTTGTTGTTTGATATGTTTTGTTCCTTTTTCAAAGTGGTCATTTGTTTTAGATATTCAGATTCTGTATACTCTAATATTATGAAATAGAGGAAAAGAGATGAGGAAATATGTTGTGAAATAGGCTTTTAAAAGGCTTTGCATTTTATTTGAAATTTTTGGAAGGTTTGCAGAAATCACAGGAAACATTTAGAAAAATATATACAGGTTTTTCGATCTTTACAGAATTAATTGATATGTTTTTTTTAGCTGTCTGTTTGCAGTTTGATATCATTTTTATTGAACTTGTTTTCGTTTGTTACGCATGGGCTTCGTTGAACTAACTCTTTTGTGAGATTTGGATGATTTCGTGTGCCAGCGATGACTTTTGTTTCTATGATTGGTGTTCGTCCGAATGAACTTTGCCAAAGTTTATGTGTGCTTGATTTATAATGAGCGAAGCGTTTTTCATGTGTGTAATGAATGATCATTGAATTTAATTGGTTGAGCGTTTTTTGCCTTTTCTTTAGTTTTGACTGTATCAGTGGTTCAGTTGTAGCATTAGGATTATTACAGTCCATTTGACTTGCAATTCTTGAAGCTCGTGCATGTTCACTCGCAGTTGGTAGAGCTAATTGTTGTCGTCGTAATAAAGTATATTCGTTTTCATCATGTATCATTGGTAGAGTAGATGCTGATGTAACAGATAGTTGTTTGAAAAATTTCGTGAAATGATAATAAATATATCTTATTGGATAGCTGAGAAACAGAAAAAGGTCGAAAAATATTACGTGTATGAATTAATACTGTACCCATTATAGAGCAACATTAATTTAATAGCTCGTCGTTCATAATTAAATTGTTTCAATGTTGGTGAGTAACGAAATGCTCGAAGAAGAGCACATCGAATAATGTTGACAAATATATGACGTGGATGATCAGATTTGAATGGTACAACATAAGGCTCAGCTGCTTCTTTGTGATGAACCGATGTAATATGATTTCCATTTTTATTACTTATTTGAACATCAAGAAAAGAAATAGAATTACCAATTTCATGGGTTAATTTAATATTTGGATGGTAACCATTAGCATCTTGTAACACCCGATTAAGTTTTTCTTTGGAATCATTCCATGTCAAAAAAATATCATCGATGTAGCTATGATAAAGAAAATGTCAATAAAAAATCACACCCTGAAATATGCTTTTTGAAAATCAATTCGCCGTCCGTAGAGACCTTCAGAAGTTTTTTGAATTGCAACTAACTTTTGCTCCCAATGCCACATAAATATATTAGCTAATGTTAATATAAATGGTGATCCCATTGCACCACCTTTAACTTGTCGGTAATATTTATTATTATAAGTAAAATTATTCTCAGTCAATACAATGCGAGCCAAACTTTCGATACCATCAATCGTCATGTATTTAACATGTGTACGATTATGTTGAAGAAGAAATTGTTTTAGAATGGCTATCGATTCTTCTTGTGGTGACATCGTATAGAGATCAGTAACATCGGATGCACATAAAAGAGTAGTTGGTTTCAAAAGACCTAAACTAGCATGTTCTTCAAGTCGACGAATAAGATCAACACCATCAATTATACTTGTTTCTTTAGCATATTGATCATATAATGGTCGAATTAATTCATCTGGAGTGTGGATGTGGGGTGTGGGTGTGGGTGTGGGTGTGGATGAATGTGGGTGTTGTGCTCTCTTTATCCACACCCCACACCCACACCCACACCCACACTTGGAATCCGACAAAAATCTCTACCTGAGTGTCATCCTGATTTGGTCACTTCGTTTAACAACATCGGCTTGGTGTATGATGGCATGAGTGAATACTCAAAAGCTGTCCAGTTTTACGAGAAAGCGCTTGTAATTCGACGAAAATATCTGTCTGAGTGTCACTCCGATTTGCCCATTTCATACAACAATATCGCAGCGGTATAATGAATATGGGTGAACACTCTAAAGCACTCGAGTTTTATGAGAAGGACCGTGAAATCTCAAAAAAATCTCTGCCTGTAAATCATCCCGATTTGCCACTTGTTAGAACAATATTGCCTGGGTGCCCAGAAACAAGAGAGTATACACGAGAGCACTTTAATTCTACAAAAAAGCGCTTCAGGTCCGTGAACAGACGCCCCCACCAAATCATTCTACAATCGCAAACTGTACGAAAAGCATTGAAATCGTTAAAAGAAATTGTGATTTGTTTGTTTGTTTACTATTTTGTGTTTTTCTACAGTGAACTATTTCTCTGTTGGTTGTATTAATATAATATTCAAATCGATAAAAACGGTGATCTGAGAAGACAAAGAAAACCAATTGTGAACCAGGCGGAAACAATAAATATGACGTGACCATTATTAATAGGCATGCACACTCTAAAAAAATAGGTTTATTACTGAACTTTAAGGGTTTCCCATTTTTCCACCGAACGATTTTAAGTTCGGCACAATAAAAATCGGGGTGGGTGTAGGTGAGGGTGTCGACCAAGTATGCAAGAGCACCCACACCCACACCCATTTGAATTTCTCACTCTCATCGATGTTTTAGATGTCCTTCACTATCTTATATCTAAATTTGCTACTGTAATCTTAGCTCTCGATTGATGGTTGAACATGACTTCGATATTATGCATCAACAGCATGTATTCGTTAATTGCTGGGCGAACCATTTTATTTTGATTCGAAGGAAAGATGGATGATATTTTACTATAAATCAGTCTCCTTCATCTGAAACATGCAGTTCGAATTAGTTTTCCCTGATAGTGATTAACAGTAGTTGTACGACCACATTGATAGGTTAAGCTGGTTGATGTTTTCCGTAGTTGACATGATTTATATTGCACTGATTTCTTTGATCTTCTTTAACTATTTATAAAAGGGCCTGCAAAAAATCATGTTAAATGGATTATCTCAAGACTAGTTCATGTAATTTCACTCATTGAAGCTAATGCTTACATTAGAAACATAATTATTTTTCTTTTTATTCATAAATGCTGGAATTATCTTATTTGAGATGAGAGTGAGATAATACCTCTTTTCTTGTCTTTTAGCCGATGAGTGAGATCAATAATAGATAATTATACGTTACAAAATGAAATTCTCATGAATTCTCCGCAAAACAGAAATATGAATAACGAGAAATTCGATTTGCTTTTTGCAGAGATGTATTAATACAAAAGATGTGCTAATGATCACGAAGCAAAACAATGCCTTTGAATTAAAACGATTCGATATTTGTAGCCGTGTATCTTGATCTTGATCCTTTGAAAAGAAAACTGTTCAACGGTCGATTGGATAATTTTGATAATGAGATTTTCGTGGTTGATTTTAGTCATAGAGATATTGAACGATGTCATATATATCTTAAACAGCAAACTGATAAAATGAAACAAGTTTTCTCTTTGTCGATATTCAGCTTACTACTTTTGACTTTATTTCGTCCGTACATGATTTACAACAATTACATTTTATCTGAGTAATTCACACTGATTCAAATTACCACGTTCATCGACAGTTTCTAGAAAAAATGGAAAATAAAAACAAATAGAAAGTAAAATTCAACAAGGTAACCGAATATCTCACCTTACATACATAAAGAAATGAACACATTTAACTCATCGAAATCCTCTCGGAATGGGAAACACTATTTCAACGAACTATAATTCATGATTCGTGGTCCAACAATTTGTTATGTATGATGAACATATCGAAAAATCAATCTGAAAGAATAACCGAACAATATCATCTCACATATGAACGGACATATACATTACCGATGATAATTGATTTATTTCTGAATATGGAAAACGTGGACAGTGAATTATCAAAACACAATTGGATTCAAAGATGCAAAATATTATGCAATAGTATTGAGCCAAAGATGAAAAATTTATTAGAATTTGAAGAAACGTATAAACTAAAAGAATCTCTTCGATGGTATACCACATTTTTGTTTATATTTTCTCTATTTAATAAAATATGTCGACAAAAAGGTATCGAATGGCTTATTTTCTATCGTTTTTTCTGGTCGATTTATATAGGCCACTTAAACAAGAACAATCAAATAACCAATACATTTCCACAAAGACATATTATTGAGGTCAATGTAAGTCAGATGATGAATTGAAATCTTTACAAGAATCATATAACCTAAATTAAAATCTTTACAAGAATCATATAACCTAAATTAAAATTCATTCACAAATACATGTGATTGATAATTTTTATATAATTGCTAATACATTTTTCTCGACAACGAGTTATCACCAAACAGCTCTTGCACATTTTTCAGATCAAATAACGAAAATGATCAGAAAAAATGTACATATTGATGCAGAAGATGACTTTTCTAGTGACGATAATTGTTATTTCGAAATGCATAGTGAATATGATTATCAATCCGTGCTTTTCGAAATTCAAGTAGATCCAGATTCAACATATCCTTATGCAACTATATCTCACTTGAGCGAATTGCCATGAGAAGATGAAACATTATTTGCAATTGGTAGTACATTTCAAATAACACATAATGAATACAGCGAACAAGATTATGCTTTTGTAATTAAAATATGATTGATTAATAAGATACAACAACACAATAATAACAAACATATGTCATCGTTGAGTATTAAAATTCTAAAAACTGGATTGTTAATAAATAATTCTTTTCATGATGTAACACGTGGAAAAAGTTTTTTTTCAAACATTTATTGCTAAATTTTCATTGTCAAATATAAGTCTTATTGTATCATGGTATATTGGACTCGGTTATCTGTCGTACATTGACAATGATATCAACTCAGAATTAAGGTACTATCTAGATGCTGTAAAAGATTTTAAAAATGATCCAGATATTCTCGCAACCTGCTATAACTTCATGGGTTTATTTTACGAGAAAGCATATGGAGATGTTTCAACAGCATTGAAATATTATAACAATGCCTATGAATTAAAAACTCAAATTCCATTAGATAAGTTTGTGAGTTATCTTTCTTTCCAAAATATAGCACTTGTAAATATAGCACGAGTTTAGTGCAAACAAAATCAGATATCTTTGGCTTGCCGATACTATGAACAATTGAAAATTGCCAATTGTTAATATACTGAATTGCAAACTTAGTTTTTTGTAAATTACTCGAAATACGGAAAAGGTACGAACTTGAAAATATAAATTCAGAACGTTTTAACAAGGAGATAATTGATATATGTATTCGAATTGTAGACACATATTACTTAGAAAAGAATGAATACATTCATTCAATTAATTATTTAATAAAAGCAATCAAACTATATGATTATTTCGACAGCATGTGCATATGAGATTTTGTTAAACTGCAATGTTTGCATAAATATATTGCTTATTTATATGATGTGAACGGTCATATAGTGCTTCAACAAATATGGTACGAAAAATGATTTGTTTTTTTAGCATCCTTTGACAACTGCTACTCTTCAATCGAAAGAGAACTTTAGAAGTGTGAGAAAAAATAGATGTTTATAAGAATATGTGTTGCAGAATATAAGCATGATTTAAAATGGGGTCTTTATGAATTTGTCACAGAAGAAAATTACTCACGGAAACGTACAGAAATTATCCATGGAATTCATTTAATGAATATTGGCAATTATAAATGTGCAGTTCAGTGGTTTAAGCAGGATCAAACAAATAACAATCGAAATATACTAATCCATTGGCGGTAATTAGTATAGACAGTAGAATTTCGAATATTCTACTCTTCATTTTTTTTTCGAATTATTCGAGAACATTTACATCAAGTTTTATATGAGGGTGTGGATTTAAATGCAGGAAAGATTAGCACCCATATCCTACATTCAGTTTACTAAATTCTTTTATAATATTTTTAACAAAATTATTGCTCTAATTAACTACAATCAACTGCTCTTGAGACATGAAATAATTTCTTTTAATGATGCTCTAGTATATTCTTTGTACAAATAATATTGAATAAATACTAGTAGTGTTCTATGGAATATTTCCGTTCAATTCTTGTCAATCTTCATGATTTGATGCAGACAAGTCTTTCGGGTGCCAATATTTTTTTCGATGATCATTATTGTGATTGGTACATCCTGACCCCCACTTACATAGAGTGCGATCATTATGTTTGTGATCATCTTTCTTACTGTGTCGAGGATGCGAATATTTTTTTCGATGGTAGTCCCTTTGATCGGTACACTCTGAAGCCCACTTGCATGGTGTACGATGATCACTCCATCCTTCCTCGTCATCTTTGTGATCAGAACGACGATGAGAATATTGTTTTCGATGCTGTCTGTCTTTGATATCACGACATTTCGAGCCCCATTTGCACGGTGTTCTTTTCTTGTTCTCGTGGTGTCGACAATGTAGTGAAGTTCCTAGGGTGTTCAAAAATGAGGATTATGTCAATGCATTGTAATAAAATAACCGGCACTCGAAAGACTTGTCTGTATCAAATCATGAAGATTGACAAGAATTGAACGGAAATATTCCATAG